ATAAAGCCTCATTGAGTTTTACATGAGCCGGCCTGCTGTCAGTCTCCCTGAAAAGGGTAGCAGAATAATCTGCCACTCTACAACTTCAAGCCGAGGAAATAAAAGCTCTGAAAGCCTATCATCCAAAAGCAGGAAAGAGGAAGAACAGGAGTCTTATTTTCATTAATGAATTCCATAATAATCATAATAAAGGAATCATGAATGAAATGTTAAGCATGATCACACAGCAAATACATTCATTTTAAAAATAACTCAGGCTGAAAGTTGGAAGGAATTTGGTCAACTAGTTCAAGCCTTATAATTCAGGGAACAAAATCCTTATTTGAACACTTGTGAGAGTAACTTCTCCATTTTGGAAGAGAGTCAATGAATCTAAAAGGTTTCAATTTATTTCAAGCTGGTTTCTATCTTCCTCTGTTAACTACCTGTGGGCCAAATTCTAACTCCTGAAGCAACCAAGCAAGCCAATTTTTTCAGCACATTTTAAATGAAGTTTTTGTGATAAAATGAGGTTTCTTGGCTGATATTCGGGTCGGCTTATACTCGAGTATAAATTAATTTATGAAGAATCATTTACTATTGCCTATTAATGTGTTTTATAAGACAGAATGTTTTAGCAACATGATTTATACTATGATAGTCTAAAAATATCCATATTCTAGATGTTAATGAAGGAGAATTTGGTTTGTATATTTGGTGTAGGGGAAGGGAGGAAGCCATTATCAGGGGGGAAAAGTGGAGAACTGGAAAATGACCAAAGAGCACGACCCAGTCCTCATTCTTGAAAGATTGCTGACATGATAAAAGGTGAGTCAATGTAGCTAGATTTGCAAATTTTCCCAAACTCACTGCTGTGGAGTTGACTCTGACTCATCTCAGCCTGTTAGGAAGTTTCTGAGGCTGTTGACCTTTACGAGGGCAGAGGGCCTCATCTCTCTCCTCCAGAGGAGCAAGTGTGCTGGGATTGCTGACCTTGAGGTTAGCAATCAATGCTACCAGCATCACCAGGCCTCCTTAATTCTACAAAAGAAGTCCCAAATTAAGGATTTTTTGTGATTTATGCCAATTTTTTTTTGTGTTAGCAACTAAGCTGCTTTTCGAAAAAGATTGGAGAGGATACACAAAAAAATATTTGTGGACTGAATCAACTGTGGCCCACCAATTTGTGATTTCTAACCGCCTTATTTAAAGAGCTATCTGTAGCTACTATTCAAACCTATAACATATATAAAGAGAAAATCATAATATACTACTATATAGTGGAAAGGAAGGAACCAGTCTTAAGATTTCAAATTTTCTCAATTTCAAAGTGAATGTGCACTGATACCTGATACACTAGTTCCCTTAACACAAATAAGACGTTTGCCCAGCAAATTGACTCTTTGAAGAGATTATTTTTAGATTATCAGTGTCTTACAGGTTTAGATGGTTCAAATAAATCCTATACTGTATATACCAAAAACAAAAAACCCACCAAGAAAACTGCAAATCCAGAGTAAAACTCCCACACTTGGCCAGTTCAGCCAATTGGTAACCTGATTTATTTTAATAACTAGTCTATGACCAGGTTGGCTTTGTGAAATTTTGTGACTTTAGCTAATGTATGCTAGAGAACCTCTCATTTCTCTGTCATGTTATAGTAATTCAAGAGCAAGAGTAGTCAACGATCAATAAAAAGATTGTATATTTTATAGCGGGCCTCCTGGTCATATTATTGAACTAACTTTTTTTAAAGGCTAATGTTACAAATTGAAAATGAGTAAATTAATTATCATCTTTGAAAGCCAATTTAAAAATTAAAAATAGCTTTTATAAAGCTCTATTAAGAATCAATTAGATTTTATTTAATTCTTATTGGCAAAAGAGAACAAAAGAGATATGCGGATCCTAAGTGGCTCAGAAGCATTTCAATTTTTTTGCAAATCTACTTTTGTGTGGGACTCTATGTGAAACATAAAAAACAGGTGAGAACCAAATACAAATTGGATACAAAACAACAATAAATTGGTATTATCAAATACAAATAAACATTTCAATAAACTTAGAATCAAAGAGACTGAAAGAGAACCACCGTTTGTTTATTTAAACCACTGATAGAGTCAGTGTCCTCTTTTCATAAGCCACTTGGATTTTATTTGCATTGTAAAGTAATGGTAAATGTCAAATGACTCCTAGACCATCCTTCTGAACACAAGAATATTATGCTGTTTAACTCTCTAAACACAAAAAGTGCTTTGAGAAAAACAAAGAAAAGGAGCAGCATGTCTTAGTCACACAGTTCAACTGCTCAAAGCTTTAAGGTCTCTAAAAGTACAGAAAAACAGCATCATAATCGTCCATTACTACTTATTTTAAATTTTGAATGTGAATAATTTTTTAAAATATTATTTTTTTATCTGAAAAAATCTTATAAAAATCTGTGCATTGAACTTTATCTTCCTGCACAGAAATAAAGTGATTATTAAACACAGATCTTTTGAATTTGTTTTGTATAGGATGATATATTGTGGTAATTTCAACATAAAACTAAGAAATTTATGCATCTATGTCAATTGCGTGTAAACACCAGTGATACAATGCAATACGTCAACCTAAAGAAATTTACTCAGGAATTTGCTTTTTTTCCCCTTTGATCAGTTTTTTGTTGTTGTTTTGTTTTGTTTTACTGTTAGCAATGGTTGAAAAAAATGCACCCATCTGAAAAGTCAAACAAATAAACTTAACAAGAATAAAAGTCTAACAAATTTAAACTTAATAAGAATAGTATGACCTTCCCCTGGACAAAATATGTTAAGGGGGTGGGGCGTTAAAGGAGAACATGTGTAAAATGCCAATCAATTTTCTGTCTAATAAAAGTTACCCCCACCCCCACCCCCATGCCCTTAAAAGGCTTGCTTTTATCATTCAGTCTTATAGCCCTTAAAGAGAGGAACCTTTGAGAGGAGCAGGGACACAGTGTCCCACAGTCTGAGGCACAAAGTATTTAGTTGGGGTTAATAAATGCTTCCTGATTTACTGGAGGATGATAATAATGAACAAATGTAAAATAGAAGCTAATTGATAGGCTAAATGCATTAGTGCATTCCAGTGCCCCCTCTATGAAAGGTTAGTAACGCATCTCAGCTAAGTGCTGAAATTATAATTAAGTCTGACGGGAAGTCCTAGATTTATACCAATATAATTACAAATATTACTTAGCTTAGTAATACAGTATGGCAAGAACAATGAGATGGGTAATTTAGATGATACTGCAAAGTGGGTTTTAATGTTTGAAACTTCTATTACAGTACACAGGATAAGTGCAAGCAGTGTAATTAAAACCTAAAAGAGACTGATCTTTAAAAACTACTGCTCAGTCTCATTAAAATACATGTTTTCTCAATTAATCGAAACTTTTCCATTAAAAACAAAAAGTACACTTTCATTCTTTGCAAATAAATCTCTACAGTAGATATATTTATGATCGAATATCAAGCAACCATTAGCGTTCAGTGAAATAGCACAGGTTTGAGTGCCTGGAGCCTACCAAGGAGCAGGGAGGCTAAGATGTGGTCCAATGACTTTTCTAGTAATCGATAAATGAGCATTTGAAGAGGATGAAGATTAGAAATCCCTAAAAAGTTTTTGTTTCAATAAAATAAATCCTAAGCAAAATGTTTACTTAATAGATAACTTATATAATCTTATACTTATATTATAAGATCTTATTTACCTCTATTCTCCAATTACTGACATTCTTAAACATGTCAGGTATATTGTCAATTGTTGTAAAAAGGTAAAAAGGACAAGTGTTTTCATGATCATTTTGTTGCACAAAGGTTTTGTTTCCTTTTATATCACTATAGTAGCAAGAGGTTTAGCTCAACATTAAGCTAATATTAGACCCATAAAAGTCACAAGATAATATCCTTAAGGCCTTTATGTTCTCATTTGCTCTAAAAACATTTTAAAACTATTTTAAATGCCATATTAACTATACAGAAAAAGTCTGATTTCAGAGAACATGACTTTTAAAAATGTGTATCGTTCAGTATTCTTTAGATTTTTGTGTATTTAATATGTTAACTATTACAAAGATCTTTTTATGTTTATTCTAGACAAGTACGAACACCAAATCAGAGGTTATCACACAATCTAAATAGTAATTCAGAGTAATCCAAACCTGTCACTAGAATTTACCACAATTTGGAACACTGGAGTCCACATGAATTTAAATTTAAAATAAAAGAGAACAGTAAAGGTGTTAGTAGGGTGGGTTTGAATTCAAAGGATTGAGAAATAAAAATAAATTATTGCTCCTATTTATGAAAAATATTTAAATGCAAATAGGTTCTGATTTTAGCAAAAACAATGCTTTGCAGTGAGCAACATATTTTTCATGGCCTATCTTTAGAGATATGTCAGATAGATATAACACTAAAGTTACTGGGCAGGAATCTTGCCTCATGTCTGTATCATTATAAAAGTCTATATCCAAGACTTTCTTGCATCTTTTTGTTCCCCAGTACAACATTTCAAAGAAAAATGGGTTTATTATTGTTTATAAGACCTCCCATTTTACACGTTTTCACACACTATATTAACCTGCCCACCAAATGACTTCTGTTTTTAAAACAAATTCTATTTAAACTGAGGACAAAGTGTCATCCTTGAAAAAGGGTCAGGACACATATTTGAGATAGTTTCTCAGAAATAGTAAATAAACAATACATCCTATATAGAAGATAAGCAAAAACATTCAACAGTTTGCTGTTGCTACAACTGTCTAGGCAAGCATATGAATCAAAGTACAGAAAAACCTAGTTGCAAACATAACCAATAGATGGATTAAAAGTATACATCAAAATGAATGGTTTCCAAATTTAAAACATATAAATTTGAAAAGACATGGGTGCATTCAATTGACATTGCCATGCCTTGTTAGAATGATAATTAGTGTTTGGTACAGAGGATACACACTTCCATCAGGAAAAGTGTTTTTGAAATGATACAATGGTTACCTGTCATTTATGATCCAGTTCAGACAGAGATTGAGAGAGCTAAGATTTTTGCACCTCTTGACAATTTCCATCACAGTTTCATTATCCAGTTCAGTGATATGACGTAGGTCCAAGCTGGAAAGGTTTCTTAGCTGAGATAAATAAAATAAAGAACAAAATGTTAAACCTTACGTTCATTCTCAGAAATTTAGAGGGCTTTAAAAAGTTTAAGGAAATTTCAATATCTTTTTTTTTAATCGTTTGATTAGGGGCTCATACAACTCTTATCACAATCCATACACACATCAATTGTGTAAAGC